CCAATGGGCGGTGGTGTGTCTTCCTCAAGCTTGGGTCCTCTACCTGAGGCCTGGGAGTTTGAAGGTTCTGCACAGTATCTTAGCTGTTCCAAGGACTGCAATCTTCCAGACCTCAGATGTTGTACCTGGAGTCTGCTAGAGCCACTCTCCCAGTTTGGGGGTCAAAAAACTTAAACAGAAAAGCACTGGGGAATTGGAGCAGTTCCTTGACCTTGAATTGGTTGGGCCCAATACAGTCCAGCAGACAATCAAAGCTCCACTGTATTTATACTTATGTATATGAGTATTTGGGGAAATGAATGTGGTTTTAAATGTTTTTTGACACTGTACACAAGGTAAAGAGATCCTTCTGCTTCTAAGAGGATCATACTTTGTGTTATTAAGTACGTGTGCCATCGACGATATGAATAACCTCACCACAGGGCCCTGTTACCGTAGTCTGCCTGCCACACTGCACATTAACGCCTCTGAATGCCCTCGCCCAGCATGGCAGCACTGCTGCCACCGTGTGTTCACCTGCCAGATCCTAATGAATATGCACTGTGTTCTCTGTCTTCTATCTCACGCATGGCCCCCCTCCCTTCACCTTCCTCCCCCCTCACTTCCTTTTACATCCCTGTGCATGGTGCACTCTCCCTCCACCCTCCATCCTCCTCCTCCTCCTCTCCTCCCTCCTCCAACACCACCTCACCTTCCTCCCCTCCTCACCCCGTTCACCCCTTCACCATCACTGACACCGCTGTATGTGTTGCTGCATGGCCTGTGGCCCCCGACGCCTCGCCTGGCACTGGCCTCCCACACCCCAGGACCACTCGGGCACTCTGGGCGCGGAGGAGTTCAAGGCCTGCCTGATCAGCCTGGGCTTCGATATCGCCAACGATGCACAGGTACTTAATCGTAGCCACGCCCACCCTGTGAGAGGTTTAACTGGTTTCTTTTTTTTTTCTTTTGTACTTTTCCCCCCGTGTTCTTCTCTCCCTCTGCTCCCACTTCCCGTTCCTCTAAAACTTTGTGATTCTTCACACACCTTGCAACGTCCACATTGTGGATCGGGCGGCTTTTCCTCCTTAATTCTGCTCTTTATTCATCCTTTACTCCTCCAATGATTTCCCTCCGCTATCCCTGCCACTCTCCACCTTTCTGCTCCTCCTGACCTTGACCTTGTAGAAGAGATCAGGATTCATGGATGCTGAAGACTTCAAAACCTGCCTTATCTCCATTGGTTACAACCTGGTAAAGCCATGAGCACCCTTCAAGTATCAAAGTTTGTTTGTGTGTGATTAACAAGTCCAGACGGACATGGTAATGGATAGAAGTAACCCTAATTATATGTATTTATTAATGTTTGTATATTGCATTTTACATCTTAAAAGCTCCATTACAGGATTCTGTAAGAATTTATGTTGATACAAATTAAAGATTTTCATTTAACAGTACTTTAAATTAATTTAAAACTCACTCATGTGATACAGAATGTGCTAAACCAAGTCAATCTGAGTTATATCTGTGTGTGTGTGTCATTTGGTGTGTGTTGCCGTGTTGCTGTGGGGACCGAGCTTCACTCTCCCTCTCTGTTGCCCCCAGGGTGAGAACGAGTTCTCCCGCATCATGAGCATAGTGGATCCAAACCGGATGGGCATCGTCACCTTCCAGGCCTTCATCGACTTCATGTCCCGCGAGACGGCCGACACAGACACTGCCGACCAAGTCATGGCCTCCTTCAAAGTCCTGGCAGGAGACAAGGTACAGCTTTGTGTTGTGGTCGAGTTAACAGTGTGACAGTGAAGACGAAATTCCTACATTCAGCTTCATTTGGCCAAAAGTTGGATATCCGGTGAATAAAGTGAAGAGACACAGATGTGTGTGTGGGTGGTGGTGCATGGCTGTTCTTATTTGGTGGAGCGATTTGTCCGGTTAATTTATTTTCTCCTCCTCAACAGAACTACATTTTAGCCGACGAGCTGCGCCGGGAGCTGCCTCCAGACCAGGCCGAGTACTGCATAGCCCGCATGGCCCCCTACACCGGCCCCGACGGCGTGCCCGGAGCCCTCGACTACATGTCCTTCTCTACGGCTCTGTACGGAGAGAGCGACCTCTGAACACTCTGTCAGTCGTCCTGACTCGGGACCACCAGCCTACCTGCTCTGATCACCGCCACGTCCTCCGACTGCCCCGCCACCAAACCCCTGTCCTACTACGCTCATTTTTTGTACGTCTCTGGCCTTATCTTTTTGTCATTATCCTCTGTCTCCTCCTCCTCCTCCTCCTCCTCCTCCTCCTCCTCCTCCCACCTCTCCACCGCTCCCTCACACTCTGTCTCCTCGTTGTATTTGCTTCCCACGCAATGCAGCAGCTCTCCAGGTTTACAAAGAGGGAGAGAGAAAATGTTTGTTTCTGTTTTTATTTTCTTGTTGTCATTGTTTTTCTTCATAAAATGAATAAAGTTAACATATTTTATTATACTGAACAAAAAAAAGGTATTTTTCTTCACCTGATTGAAAATAAGAGACGAAAATTGTAATAAAGAAAAATTGCTATACTTCCTCTTCTTATCTTCTGTTTGCTGCAGGGATCACGTGTGTTTAATCGATTCACTGTGTTTGTGCATTTAGCTGACTCTCTGAATAGTAAACGCTTATATCAGAAACCTCTACAGTATGTATATATCCATATGTCCCTGGAGGAGCAGTAAGAACAGGATGCACACTTGTTAAAGTGATTATAGTGGCCTAAATACTCCCACATAAAGGTAGTGATTACCTGCATCAGGAGGAGATGTGCAGCACAGTGATGTGGAGTGGAGTGTGTGTTGTTTCCAGTTTTAGAGCTCCTTCTGAGTAAAATCTTTTGGGACATTTTCTTCAGTTTGGGATTTTATTATGTTCAAGAGGTTTAGATTATGATTACAGAGAGTCAGACTTAGGTTTGTGTTAACGAACAAATATTCAGCATGTTTTCCCCCCTGCACTTTCTGCAGGTTAGAGACAAATCATTACTTTCAATTTTTGGCCTTTTTTTAAAGTCATACCTCAGTTTTTAGACTTGCATTTCATTTATTTATATAGGAAATAAATTCGTAGCAGTTTATAAACAAAATTATCATACAGTGGTAGACAGAAAAAAACAGGTAACTAAAGGAAGCATGAAAACTGAAAAACAACATATGATTTGATTTACATGTTCAAGAAGGAGTCAGAGGAAGTTCAAACTTATTTATTCCCACCCCTTCTCTATATATTAATAACAGTCAATTATGTAGCTCCTCATCAGTGTAAAGCTGTACAATGATTAATTGCCAATAATATTTGTCTTACAGCAAGATATAAGATAATTACAAAAATACTTTGAAGATAAAAATTAATATATAAACCTTATTAAAAAAATAATCTCATCTTTATATCCTCATCCGATCATGACACACGTGTTTTGCTTTGTCAAACTATGCACATACACACAAACGTAACCTTGTGTGTTGGCTCAGTTAAAAACTATTTTTCAGCAGGTTCCTGTTATGCATCAAAAACACATTACAATACTGAATAAAAACAGAAACAGTGGTTTCCTTTGTGGTGAGGGACCAAATTAGGAGAATATTGTGAGAATAATTGCATGTAGAAATGTGTCTGAAACAGTAGGGGTGAGATATGGTCTGATCTTGATACAGACCAGGGGTGTGAAACATACGGCCCACCAAAGGGTCCAGTCTGGCCCACTAGACGATCTTCCTCACCTAATAGTGATGCATGTGCGAAGGCTGAGAGGAGCCAGGTTTCAGGAGCAAGTGAAACTCTGAGTAACTGTCTTCATGTAAAATGCTGCGCCCTGAACAGAATACAGTTCTTTTCTTTCACTTTAGTTTGGTGTGGTGATGTCAGGATACTACACAGGAGAGGAGATGTATAGAAAAATGTTATCTGATTTGTCTAAAATGTATGTCTTTAAACCAAAAAGGGGAAAATGTGTAGGTGTTTGTTATTAAGAGGATATAATGCAATGGTTTTACTGGTCTGGCGTACCTGTGATTAAATCAGACTGTATGTGGCCTTTGAAGTAAAAGGAGTTTGACACCTCTGTTGTAGACATACAGTTTCTGGTTGAGTTTCTTTGTTAGGTGCTGAATGAGGTGTTGATAAGTGATGGGCACGTCTAGGAATAATTTAGACTGTCCATCTCACAGGAAAACTAGACTTGGGCTCCATTATCAAAATACAAGATCAAGGTTTTATGGTGAAGTCCATATCATTTCAGTTTATGCTGGGATTTAGTGGTGCGTACAGGATCGACAAACAAATTTGCAATTAATTAAGTTACAACAAACTAAATCCACATAGTGAATGTGGAGTATTTAGGCTGCCCATGGAGGTCTGAGATCCAGAGGTAGTGTCCTGCTTTGCCTCCAGCCTTGGATCCGCCCTAAAGGTGGCACATACCCACACAAAGCTGCAAGGCTTTACTCAGGGATAATTGAGTGGAAACACCTGAGTGGGTCAACAGACAGGAATGACTGAAACCAGCGGCTGCAGAGATGGTAGGAAAACATTAAAAATGTTCTATGTCAGGTAAAATTGTCAGCACTGATGTAAAGTGTATGTGCTCGGGGAAGAAATGCTAACAATACAGAAGGTTGAAGAAACGAGGAAAAGCGACATTTCACGAAGCTAATTAACTTTAAACAGTCAAATATTAAACAAAACATAACGAGGAGAGTCCAAGCAACGACAAGACGAGTTTTGCCATTTAAAAACTTTTTATTACTTTTTTATTTCGACATTTTTAAACGCGTTTCCCCTCGCCATCCCTCAAACGGTCACATAGGTACCGTCGGCCCTGTCTCCTCACTACACGGACAAGTTAGAGCGTCGGACCCATTCAGGAAGCGTCCCGGCTGTGACCTGCTCCTCCGTGTTATCATCAGTGAAATGGACCTGTAGCTGCTGAGAGGAGTCATGTTTACCTTAAAGGCGTTGCGGAAAAATAAAACAGTCAAATATGGAGTCCCCATGCTGGTAAGTAATTTTTATTTTATCTTTTTGATGTATTTACGAACGTTGATTAGCTTGTTAGCTAACACTTTGCTAGCAGGTTAGCAGATTCATGTTACATGACGCTGCTGTCAGATGTCAGTTATTTTGTAAGTGTAACGTTACTGTAAATATTAACAGATATGTCAGTTATTTTTCTCTTTACCATGTTTCAAAGCACAGTTTAACGCTACCTAGTGTTACCCTTGTTCCTCATTTGCTGTATCCAACTTTGAATTATTTAACATTCTCTTGTTTAGTTTGATTTATAAAAGCATGTGTGCTTAAAGGTAAAATAAAGGTGCTCCATAGAGCCGTTGTGACTTGTATCGACACAGACTGTCATTCACTGTTAACTGATCAGCACCAGGATTAATGTGTAGTGCAAATTTCAAGAGACTTCAAAGCAGTGTGACTTTTTAGAGGAAAGTTAAGGGAACTTATAGACTGTACTGAGCGACTGATTTTGTATCAGTAATTCATACATAAGTGTTAAAGCTTTAACTCCGTTTAAAACCCACTTTCAGATTTGTAAAAACATTATTTTATTTATGAAGGCAAGAAAAATGTAGTGTTCACGCATTGTGTCCATTCATACATCAATGGACTAGGTCTGCATTAAAGATCCTTCTTTTATTTTGAGTAGATAAGTCAGATAAAATTGTCCAGGTTCTGGGTGAAAGTCGTGAAGCAGCTAAATATTATAGGATGCTGATGCAATGTGGAGGAGATAAAGTTGTGTCAGCTGAGACTTACCTGAGGAAGAGATTTGGGTGTTTCATTTGACGAACAGGAATGCGCTAAGATAAGGTAATTTTATTGTAAATTTTATTCTCATTTATTTATTTTCCCTATTTTCTCCGGATACACATTCCCTCCAGCTTACTTGCAGAATTTTATTTACGATGCCCTGTCATGTCTGTTTTTGGTTAATAATGAGTGGGGTATATTCATGATTTGCGACTATAGTAAGGTTGACCCCTCTTGGTTATGGGGTGGGACGGGTAGGGGTGTAGTTGTTTTGTTGGTTTTTCTTTTTAATTAAAAAATAACTGAGTCATAAAAAAAATCCTACATTTACATTTGTCAAACCTGGACTTGATTAACAAGTAGCCCCCAGTATCTGTTTAAAACACAGTTTTCAGCTTTATGAAACCTTTATGTTACTTCTTAAAACTCTAAAAAAGGATGATTTATCTGCTTTTCTGTTCCAACCTGGCCACATCAGATCAGCTCATGATATTTTTTTTTTTTTTATAAATTTATTTAATCTTTATTTAACCAGAAAAACCTCTTGAGGTTAAACATCTCTGTTTCAAGAGTGTCCTGTTAAAGACA